TTTCAGTGGGTTAGTGCTTTATAATTAGTTTTTGCTAAATTTTTCAGTGGGTTAGTGCGTTAGAATTTGATTAGCTAAATTTAGTGCTTTAGAATTAGCTTTTTCTAAAAATTTCAGTGGGTTAGTGCTTTAGAATTAGCTTTTGCTAAATTTTTCAGCGCATTAGTGCGTTAGAATTTGATTAGCTAAATTTAGTGCTTTAGAATTAGCTTTTTCTAAAAATTTCAGTGGGTTAGTGCTTTAGAATTAGCTTTTGCTAAATTTTTCAGCGCATTAGTGCGTTAGAATTTGATTAGCTAAATTTAGTGCTTTAGAATTAGCTTTTTCTAAAAATTTCAGTGGGTTAGTGCTTTAGAATTTGATTGATAAATCTTTCAGTGCATTAGTGCTTTAGAATTTGATTTGCTAAATTTAGTGCTTTAGAATTAGCTTTTGCTAAATTTTTCAGTGCGTTAGTGCTTTAGAATTAGGGGACCTAAATATTTGAGTTAATGCTTTAGGGTTAGTGCAACTAATATTTAGATTCGTGCTGCCCACCACTGGTAACGTGGGAGATGTGGGCGAGGCTCGTAACTCACATTGGGGCTGGCAGTGTGCACGCTGCAGGTGTCCTGACTTTGGTGGTGGGGCTCACTGCTGATCACCGTCACCTCCACCCCCACTGAGTGATCTGAGGGTCAGATGGCATTCTGGATTTCAGCTAGCAGCAAGAACATTGCGTGTGTCACAGATATGTTTAATAATACGTTTTGGTTTCTCCTTGATTTGCAACCAGTCACTGAATGAAAAGTGTGCGGTTTCACTGCTAATGGAGAAAGTTGATGCCTGCTGAGTTCTTGGACACCAGTGCTGGATGACAGAAATAGGGAACTTTTTTTTCTGCAGCCTGCGGTTGGAAAAAACCACTCAAGTTTGTGCTGCTGAGTATAATATAGAAAGATGGAAAAGACAGGCCAAACATGGAGGTCGAATAAGCACACGTCACACACATGTACGTGCAAGCGAAGAAGAACAAAACAAACAAAGAAGGACACAAAAGAAAATGGTAAATGAAAAAGTTCTGCCACATTTGCATACACAAACACCTACAGGAACAAAAACTAACACACACACTTGCTTCATGGACCTGACTTGAAGTGGCTGTCGTCCCCACTGGTTCCATCTTCTCTTTCCTCTCTCTCCTCCTCCTCTTCCTCCTCCTCCTCATCCCTTTCTCTTTCCATCCTCATGCGGAGCTGTCGGTCTCTCACCAGCTCCAAATTCCTGACGAGGAAGACGTGGTGCTTCACCACAAAGCTCCTGACAGCGGTACGCAGAGGAGAACATCAGCCACAGACATTAGTTTAATGGCAGTGCAGTGCAATGCAGTGCAGTGCAGTGCACTGCGCCAGGCGGTTTGTGTCGTGAATCATTGCCGTTTACCGCTCGCTGCTGGTCAGAGGCTCCACATTGAGATGAGGGAACAAGCTGGCAATGTCGCTTGAACTCTCCTGGTAAAAAAAGATAAAATAAATGAATAAATAAAACAAACTTGAGCCATTTGAGAAGATGATTTAAAATCTGGCATCCACCAAGATGTGCTGCAGCATCTTCCTCACATGACTGCTTGTTGGAGTCCCCCAAGGCTCTATGTTTGGACCACTTATATTTGTACTTTTAACATTGAACGAAAACTAAAATAATTTGTGTTTTGTTCTTTGTTTCCACTACTACTACTACAAGAATATGTAGAGCTGTTTCATTCAAATTGAAATAAACAAACAAATAAATAAATAAACAATTACTGTAATTAATAAATATTTCATTAAATAAATATGGAAAAAAAACTAAATCAATAAAATTATAATACATTATGGCATCGGCATCTACGCCTCTAGCCAATATACCTCACTGGATGCGTCCCTGTGCATTAACTCTTTCTGATAAAATAAATACAGAAAAACAAACTAAACTCACCCCTGTAGGCGAGGAGGATGAGGTTCTCTGTTTCAGACGGCCTGCGTGAACACGACACACAGTCAGATACTCATCTCACATCAGCCAAACGGGACAAAAACATTTCTACTGCTGAATAAACTCACAGTAACGCCGCTTCCTCTTCAGGGGAACAGCAGGCTTACGGTAGAGCTGGAAGCAAATCACAGCAATATTCAGGTCAAGATAGACAGTTAACTAAACTAAATGTTTTCAGTTTCTGCAGTCTGGGATCCAGAACATGCGTGTACCTGGTTGTGCTGCCAGAGCCACATCACGTCATACGGCAGCTGGAAATGAAGCCGCTTCAGTCTCAAATACTTCCCTGGAGAGTATTTTACATCAGTTTGATAAGAACAGCAAAAATGAAAGTAGTATTTTAGAAAGAATGCATATCAGACAATCACATACTCAGACACAGTCAGAGTGTTACTACTACGTCAAATTTGAACTCAATATTTGTAAAATTTACAGAGTTAAAGTCAATTTCTGTTGGCTAATGTTCTTAAATCTTTAGTCTGGTTCAGACACACAATCGTCCGTCTTTCTTTACTGCTGATAACAAACTTTACAGTACCACTCGGGTACTCCTCGGTACTCACCAACGTGTATGGGCGCAGGTAAAAGGCTGTACTCGTGTTCCCCAGGTGTGTACTCCAGATTCTCGCTGCAGCTCTTTCGGGCTTGGGAGGGGGGTCTGAGACGAGACGAAATAAATAAACTCAAAAGAGTCCTGAAAAACATTAAAGGGCCTGCGACATCAATTTTTTGTAATAAACATGAATGCATTTTTAGAAAGAGGACATCCATAAAAGATTGCAAAACAAATTTCATGTCGTTGAGATGAACAGTTGTTGAGATATTTGCATGTGAAGAAACAGGAAGTGATGTCAGAGGGGAATGTCTGCATGTAAACAGAGCTTTGTTACAACGGCTAACAACACAGACTGTAGAGAAGAATCTGATGTTTCTTTAGATTATTTTGAGTCTATCAAAGAGAGATGATGAAGAGTTAAAGTTTGAATTATATTGTTTTAATAAACAAAGACCAGAGAGTTAATTTTATTAAGGAGTTCCCCTTTGATGTCACTTCCTGTTTCACATTGGCTGAACCAAATTCAAAAGAAACTAGATAGAGCATGGTGAGTTTTGGTGGCAATTTGACCCTAAATCTTTAAAAAGAGTCTAAAAGTAGGTTTTGCAAATTTTGCGATGTAGAAAAAAATTTTTTTGGTGGAAATGGGCATGGCCTATACCATGTGACTCAGTGGTGTCCAGTGATTGTGTTGCTATGTACCAAAACATTTTGTGACTTGCGGTTTAGAAGACAAAAGACCAAATGCAAAAACCTTAATAATAGCGCCCCCTATTGGTGGGTATCTCTGCTTAATTTTTTGGTTCGTCGTGTAGGTCATAAATTTATACCCCTGAAGTTTCACCTCAATAGGTTTTACGGTTTGGGCTGCAGTATGACTTTTCTGGTCGGAATAATAATAATAATAATAATAATAAAACATAGTGAAAACAACAGGTTTCCATGCTCCACTGGATGCATGGAATCGCTGCTGCGTTGCAGCTGCGTTTCCCCTACTCCGCTGGCTTGGACCCCTAAGGCCAGTTATGTGACAAAATGTGTAAAATCGTGTGTATTATGTCAATTTTCTTAAGAATAAAGATGTTTTCTTTGACTTCTTATACAGTATTTGAAGGACAGGCATGTCACAGACACTTTAAGGAGTTTTTCACTGATTAAAACAAAAACAAAACTCACTCCGTAGTTTTGTAATCGTCCGAGTAAAGCCCTGCGCTCAGAAACGTCTTCCTGGGAGGCCCCTCCGTTCTGTCCTCGCTTCGGACGGCCGCCGGCCGGGGCGGAGTCACGTCGCCGTCTGATTGGCCGAGGAACTCGGGGAGGGCGTGGCACTCCTTGTCGAAACTTAAAAAACGGGCGCGCGAAGAGAGAGGCAGAATGACAGAGAGGAACAGAGAGACAGACAGAGAAGGCACTGGTTTAGCACACAGTGCTGAAAACGGCGTGTTAATATGACGGCACTGAGCGGTTGGATTCGACATGCGGGTCGACGGGCGCCGCTGTTCACCTCACGTGGCACGGGGAGTCACCGTGTTTTCTTTTGCGACCTCTCTTTCTCCTGGCCTCCAGCTCTGTGACCTGCTGCCCTCCTCCTCCTCCTCCCGCCTCCCTCCCGTCTCTGCTGTGGCGGTTCGCCGGCAGCAGGTCAGGCGGCGACGCAGACGATGAGAATGTGGCTGATGAGGAGGAGGAGGAGGCAGCAGGAGGCAGCGGATGCTTCCTGGGCCGCCCGGGCCCTCGTTTGCCCGTCGCCTGCGCTGGCACGCTTCCCTGCTGGCCCCAGCTCCTCGGGTCACCTTGTAAAGCTGCAGTCGGGTGAAAAAGGGAGGCGGGGGGAGGGGGAGGGGAGGAAATAAGACAGATGTGGATCAGTGATGGAGCTGGCAGGAGGTGTGAGGTGAGGCCAGTCTGGGCTGAGTCATGTGGACGGTCCACAGATTAGGTGAGTCACAACGTTTCCTCTGACCGGATCACTTCTGGGAAACGCATTAAAAATGATTTATGAGCGCGCACGCACGTGCACACACACACACACACACACACACACACACACACACACACACACACACACACACACACACACACA